TAGGCTTCTCCTCCTCTGTGGAGACCAAGAGATGAGTGCGAGGAACTGGAGCTGAGAGAGATCAGGGCCATGTGCACATGACCAGCTCACCGCAGCAGCTGAGGTCGGCATGTGCTGCAAGGTGGCGTTAGTAAAACCAACAAACAAATGAAAATAGTGCTCTTAAAGCAGCAAAGATGCAAGGGGTCGACATAAATGTCCCAACCTGAAAGGCCAAGGTAAGCCAGCAAAAAGTGCTTTCAAGGAATAGATTTTTTTTTCTGGTGCAAAAAGAAGCTGGTGACTTTTTTTATAAGGCTATAGTTCTTTAAACAAAGTAAAAGTTCTTTTATATGTAATAAGACCATTACCATGAAATATATAATAGAGATTCTGGCAAATAGTTTCATAAGTACACAGACATACTTATGCACACACAAAACAAGTTTTTATTACAGTATTTGAACACTGAAATTAATGTGTATACCTGACAATAGGGTGCAAAGTTAATGTCCAAGTGCAAAACTATATAGTTGCCACTGGCCTCTGCACCTCATGAATGAGCCAAAGAAGTAGATGTTCTCTGCTGGTATGCCCTAAGAAATGGAGGTATTTGCACATAAGTTGGTAATACTCAAACTTCATGTTGTGTAACTCTAGGATTTGGTTATAAAATTGGTTCTGGTAAGATATACTTTTACCAAGGTTCAAGAAGTGAGAAGTACCAAAATTTTATGAACTATTTCATGGACTCACACATGGCAATAGAAGCAACATTTTACCTGAATGGTAGGAACCCGTGACGGCCCTGACACCACACCTGACAGGGTGCCTCCCACCACTGGGTAACTCAAAGCTGTTTAGGAGGACAAGACCAACTTCAAGGCAATGCCGTTGATCTCTTTGACAATGGCCCTGAGAGCGATGGCTTTGGTCACTGTTTGAGTGGTCATCAGTCCTCAACCTCCATAGCACTCTCAGATCTCGTCACTTTATGCTCATTCTCCCAACATCTTGGGCTTAGATTTTTTAACAGTATCAGTTGTTTTCTTCTGTCTTTTTTCATAAGATTAATTTCTGGCTTTATAAATGTCAATCACTTTGGAATATGTTCATCACAAAAGCTTTGATCAAAACCAAAGGCAATATGAATACTAAAGGAACATTTATTCCTACTCAGTTTTTTTTTAAATGGTTTAAGAATGACTAATTTTTGAAGTAATTTCCTATGTTCATTTCATTTGTCTTGCATACATCTTTTTACACTTATAAAATTAAATAATGTCTTCATTAAAATATGGTGACATGGACTATTAAAATAAGATAAAAGTGACTTTTAAAATGATTATTTTCTTTTGGGGGTAGAGACTACACAGGCCCATAAAACCATAGAGTCACATAAGAGACACTTTGTATCATACATATTGTGCTTTCTGTTTCTCCATCGGGGATCTCTATCATCACAGTAAAGGTCTGGCTTGGGGAGAAAGCCTCTCGCCAGGGGGACAAGCCACAGAGGCCTGGACCCTGATCCAGGTGATCCTGTATTTCACAGGGAATCCTGAAAAGCGCACTTGCTCAGCTTGTCAGCATCACAGTATATTCTAGACTTCTCCGTGGTGTGTGCACCTAAGTGTGGTGTACGTATTCGTGTTGATACAGAACTTTAACTAACATCGTATCTTTCAAACTTCAAATGCCTGTTTATTCCCAGTGAATAACTTAGACCAGACCACCCTTACAAGTGTCTGGCTTTCTGCAGCCCCTGAATGTGAGGATGTGTTTGGCTACCTCCTGAGGGGCTACGTGTTGGCCTACGCTGCCCATGGGAGTGGCAGCCCGGAGGGAAACACCCCAGTGGACCGACCCACCAGACCCGACAGGGCAGAGCCCGGGAAGAAGCAGCTCCTCTGTGGCAGCGCTTGGTGGAGCCGTGACTCCTCTGCCCACCCCAGTCCTCCTGTGAGCAGGTGGCTCCACAGAAGTGGGGTCGCTCACAGCTGGGTGCTTGCCTGTGTGTGACTTGGTGGAGATTCCATCGACTTCACTTGTGGATCCTTCCCTGAGTCCTGACAGCTGGATCAGGAGCTGCACAAACATGAGTGAAGTCACCCTAGCCACGGGGAAGGAAAGCACATGGAGCAGCTCACCTCAGGCCGATGGATGCAGCGCCCTGAGCCTGTGGCCCATCCCTTGCCTGGCCTGCCCTTGTCCAGGAGAAGGGCAGACAGCACTCTGCACTGGGCATGAGGCCGAGGTGTGGAGTGTGCTGCCTGTAGGCGCTGCATGCCCAGCAGAGCCCGACTCCACTGCCAGCAGACAGGGCTGCAAGCAGAAGGGTACCTGGGAGGCGGCGGCAAGTTCTGGCAGGGGTGAGGACACGCGCACCTGGAGCCACTGTGACACCAGCCGCCCAGGCGTTCCTGGGTAACTGCGCTCTGCTACCCCTCGGTGTTGACGCGTCAAAAATATTTTATCCCGAGAGAACACAGAGTTATTAAATTCTATCTTAGCTTAGGTCAAAGTCAACAGAAAGTGAATATGCCTTATGATAAGCATACAGAAAATTTCACATGAAATAAACATAGTGAACTACATTGTTTGAATTACCTAATTATTCCAATTGCAACCTCTGAGCAAACAAGTGTAAAGCACTGGGTCCCAAAACTTGTCCATAAGTGAAAAGAGAAGATCTTATTTAAGGCCCATCGACCTTAGCGCCTGCCTAGTGTATCATGACACTTCTCAGTGCACCTCATTTCAATCAATAAGAATCACTTAAATTTTAGGGCAGATTCAACCCTAATATCCGCCTCGCCCAAGTCGTCGTAACTTGAAAGATGGCAACCGAGCTTCCAGTATAAATTTAAAAGACTCATTCGTGAGGCTGTGAATAGATACCTAATTATGCATGCTGTCTCGGCTGGCGGCCCTCACCGAGGAGTGGGACCGCTAGGGTCCAATCTGCCCAAGTCACCTGCAGAGACGCTGGCTCGTAGCTTGTCGCTCGCGGTGAGAAGCGGAGCCAGCCCATCCAGCCCTGCCTGGGCCAACCAGCTTTACCTGCACAGAGCTTCTTAACAGTTATTAAAATAACTGAAGCTTAAGCAAGGCCTTCAGACTCTAGTTGGATAAAAAGTGAGAGTTTCATTTAGCACCCTCATTATTATTGACTTAACTGAATTTTTCACTTTATTATTTTTTCTTTATTAACCCAAATACACTATGTGATATACTGCTATCACATTAAAAGGATCACAACACATTGAAAATGTGCAAGGGTGTACCACTTGATTTTTATTATGCTCTGGGAAGCAAATGAATAAATCAAGAGGAACCCATTCCAAAGGCGTGCTGAAGGGAGGAGCAGCCTCTGAACCTGGCTCCCAATTAATCACAGCTGCCTTTCTATGAGGGGCACTTGCCGGAGTCGCTGACACAGTTACAGCATTCATATGTGGGAACTGTACTCTGTGCTCTCCGGCAGGGACAGCACAGTGAAATTAGAGTCTCCCCCTGTAGGGGGTAGACATCGACCACTATTCAATGTCTATGACTGCCGCTCCAAGTATTTCATGAAGAATGACTTCTAATCTGCGTAGACCCCACCATCGTGATGTCAAAAGCAATTCTTAAAGAAATATGTTCAGCTAGCAGTAATTAATTAAACCTCTCATAGCAGCGACTTTATCCAGGCTAAATCATTTCTGAATATACACAAAGGAGCCATCAGGGTCCTAGCGTCATGGATTTTAAATCATCATTTTTCCATGATGGTCATCTAGAATAGCCAAGAAAAAAACAGAGCGTTGGCCTATGGGGAATTGTTTAAGCACCGCGACAGGACTTTGTCTAAGTTTGCCTGTCTCTTCCCTCTGTGCATGTTTATTATCTTTGAATAGCACAATACCGCCCAGAATAATTTTTCAAATACATAATTCCTAAATTTGAAAAAATCAATGCAAAAGTCTAAAAATAGATACAATGACATGCTGGAAGTTTTACGGTATTCTTTTAAAATCTGCTTATCTTTGCACACCCTTTGTGGTAGCAATTTAAAGACCTTAACTGGATCTTTGTCAGCACGGGCTCTAAGTGCTGTTTCTTACATGGAGCTTCATATGGGTAACAGCAAACACATTCTTGTACGTGGGGACACTCTACCTGAAAGTCACCATGGCTAGCTTGTTAATAGGACTCAGTATGTTAGAGGTAGTTGTAAAACGATGCCCCCAGCCGAGTAAATGTCAGAGGAGAGGGCTCCGGGTCGCTGCTCTACTTAGATGGAATTCAAACTTTGAATTGAAACATAGTTTAACGGTGAGGTGAATCCAAAGTTGTAAATGCAGAAGAAACACCACATGAAGGCCGCTTTACACCACACATGAAAGACAAAAAGTCAAAGCTAAGATTTCCTACACCTGGTTTTAATATCGCCTCCTAGGCTATTAGACAAATGACCTTTTGTTTTGTTCTGTTTGTTTTAAAGATTCAGTATCATTGTCGTTGCAGCAACGACCGAATGCTGCCGTTCGTTTTCCAGCCCGCTCTTGGGTGAGCGCCCGCTGGGCACAGCGAACGTGCTGGGCAGCGTTCCACGGAAGCCCCTCCATCCGTGTACCCCGGTGACGCAACGGCGCAGCTCTGCGAGGAGCCCGAAAGCCACCCCGGGAGCAGTGCGTGCTCCTCCACAACTGTCTTCTCTCTCGGAACTGTGACCAAGCTCTGGTCACCCTCGTTTTTCGACAGGAATAAAGGATATTTCACCTAGAGAGAGACGCTGAGCGGCCAGGCTACAGGATGATCAGAGCCACATCCGAGTACCGAACCTCAGGAAGCAGGAGCCGCGCGGGGCTGGAGCTCGCGTCCTCTGGGACTGTGAGAGGCGAGAGCGCGGGCGGCCCACCGCCAGGCGCAGGCTCACCGCGCTGCACTTCTGCACGTCTTTAGAGGATTCTTTGAGAGTAAACACGCTTGCTTAATTCCCAAGGAAAAGCAGCAAGGCTGCACGTTCCACTTACTGCGTCTGCTGTCCTTCCTCCAGACGCCGCGGGCCCTGGGCTCCTGTCACAGCTCCAGGTGGCCGGCTCCGCTCCGGGAGAGATGGAGCGGCTGGCCAGGAGCACGCTGCCTCTGCCTCTGGCGGAGCGAGGAGCAGCCTGCACGGCCGGCCGGCTGCCAGGAGTCCTCAGGACACAGCGCTAAACTGCGAGAGCACAGCCCCTGCCGCCCCCGGGGGTTCTACCGTTTCACCTACACCTGGGCGGATCTATCAGGCTCCATCTCTATTAGAGCTATTTGACTCTGAGGCTCGGGAGGGAGGCGGGGACCAGAAAGAGGCTTGCGCTGTCACACTTGTTTCCTATTAGAGAGCCTTACGGTGGATTGAGTAATTGTGTACGAAGGTAGTCTGGCTGGCAGATGTGCGCGGCCCCAGCGGAGCACTCACTCAGGCAGATGGGCTGTACCAGGGCGCAAACAACACTGGGAGGGGAGAGGCGGGATGGAAACAGCAGGGCTCTGTTTTATGGGGCTGGGAGTGGGCTAGCAGAAAGCTCCAGGGAGCCAGCGTCCCCGCGCTCTTGCTCCGCAGCCAGGCAGACAATAAATCCAGTCACAAAGAAAGACGTTCAGCCCACAAAAGTTAGAGATGGGCTTGTCATATTCGTCTTGACTACTGATGAAGGGTCCTGTGACACAAGCCACTCCTCATACCCTGGCGGAACTTAATGAAAACTGCTCCATCACGGGAGGATAGTGTGAATGCAGTGGATTTGAAACAGACCCCTTTCTGCTACCAAAAGCCAGGGCTATCTTTCAAATCAGAATGAAATTGCTTTAGGAAGATTTACTCCATCAGGCAGGTAGACACCCTGCACTTGGGCATTTTTTTGTAATGTGGTTGAGGCCAACTTTTCAGCACTATCCCGATCCGAGGGATTTCTGCACACACTTGTTATTTCCAGGAACTAAGCCAGCAGGACTTCAGGGTTTTCTTCCTCACCACTCCTTCTGAAAACAAAAAGGTACGAATAACTAGAATGAGCTTAACTTGCTTTCACATGTTAGAAGAGTTTGATCAATTTTCCTGTACTGCAGAGAGCATGTTTCCAACATCAAACAGTGTGCATTTATCACTACTTGATGATACAGTTGATGATACTGCTGGTGATGGAGGTGGTGGTGGTGATGACAGTGGTGACGGTGCTGGTGATGGTGGTGGTGGTGATGGAGGTGGTGGTAGTGATGGTGGTGGTGGTGGTGGTGGTGGTGATGGAGGTGGTGGTGGTGATGGTGGTGGTGGTGACGGTGGTGGTGACAGTAATGGTGATAATGGTGGTGGTGGTGGTGGTTTTGATGGTGAAAGTAGTGGTGATAGTGGTGATGGTAGTTGCGGTGCTGATGGTGGTTATGAATGTGGTGATGGTGATGGTTGTGGTGGCAGTGATGGTGGTGGTGGTGGTCATGGTTGTGGCGGCAGTGTGGTGGTCGTGATGGTGGTAGTGGTCGTGGTCGTAGTGGTGGTCATGGTGGTGGTGGTCATGGTGGTGGTGGTGGTGGTGTTTGAACACTTGCTGTGCAAGATCTTTAATGTATCCTCTCCTTTGAGCCCTGTAACGATCCAGCGTAGTTGGGTACTGCGATCACCATCTTTTCACCTCTAGCTCTTTTTCTTTTCTTATTTTACATGAGAGAGAGTATCTTCCTGAGTCTCACAGTAAGATAAATTGCTCCAGTCTGAGAGAAGGATTCAAGTCTACCTGTCTCTGGAATCCTCACTCTTTGCCATATCAGATAGTCTTTGTATATGATAACCTGAGTACCATCAAATTTTATAAGAAAATTATAAATAAGCTTTTATTTGGAGGATAGTTATAACTCAGAATTTGATACTCTGCACTGTGTGTTCAAGCAGATAATTAAAATGTAGTTTACTCCATTTACAATAGTCCCACTAAAAGTGCTAAGGACTCATGAAATTAAGAATAAAATAACCTCAGAACATATATTGCTGAAACCAAAATCACTGGAGCATGTTCTTACACTCGCTTCAGAAAATGTTACATTAATATCTCTAGTTAGTTTGTAGAAAATCATCAGAAAGAAGAATGGGGCTGAAAGTGAAGCATCATGGATCCATCTCAAGCCTAGCGTGGAGGCCCATGACGGAAATCCAGCACAGGGAGGTGGATCCCGGAGGAGCGCTGCAAGTTCAAGGCCAGCCTGAACTATAGAGTGAGTTCAAGGTCAGTGTGGATGAG